TTTGGGTAATCATCATATTCCTCAAATGAACATACAGCCAACTTTACATCGTCAATGAACTAATCTGAATTAAAAAGGCCTATACTATTCTGCCTACAGTACCAGCCTTTAAATTTGTACTCATGTTCTGTCGTAAAATTGATTATTGGTTTTTTTCCACGTGTTGAGTCTCCATAACATACATTATGCTTCCAAAACAAAGAGATAAAACTGTTAATTTAAAAATAACCTCCATGTCAAACCACACAAGATGGTTTTTGGCATCCAGAGTCGATGTAAACTTATCAGAATTCATTCTGGAAGTAATAAATCTGATATGCCCTGCAACAGAAATTCACGTCAAATTGTTACACAACGATCTACAGAAATAAGACACTTAAGTGCTTATCAAATAGCAAGCATAGTTAGCAGCTTCTGGATTTAGCCATGTCTTTCATTACACAAATCCTTTCCTCCTGACAAAGCACACAAAGAAGGTGAAAGCCCTTCTATTTTAACTCTACACGATTTATGGAATGGAATATATGAATAAAGTCGTGCAATTAACGTTTTCATTGTAATACTCTAAATCACCCGACTTGCAACCATTAACAAACACGGATACTCTTCTTTTAACAGCAAGTACTTGTATACGAACTTCAATTTGAATAAAATAAGTCCACAAAAATGTTAGTACATTTTCCATGTACCACGAATTACACGACGGGTTGTATGGAGAATTTCTATTAACATTAGAGAATAGTCCACAGCGAAGTCCCGAAAATACGAAAAGTATAAACAACTTGAAACATTTTCACCATATTTACAAAATTTTCCAGAGAAGAAAGAGCGACTTCAAAACTAACGAATGTATGTCAGTAGGTTATGTATGTTAATACGTCTTAAAATCTGTAGTCACAATTTCCTGCACAACTTTAAATCAAAACAGGAGAACAAGTTAAATAAAGCAAAAGTCGGATTATGAAAAACTCGTGTAATAATCAGTTATTTTATGTAGTGGCGAAGAACAATGAACAAAATACTGTAAATCCATAATTGGGAAATCATATTGGCAGCCCTGCATTTTTCGAAAATAGGGTCAAAGCATGTAGTGTCAAATTTTATTACACGAAAATAAATCAGTAATAAGTGTCATGAGCTTCGGAACTGAAAAAAGATAAGACATTTACACATATGTTTCCAACAGTGCATACTTAAACTGATGTGGGGGGGAGACAGTCATATAAAATTCTTAAGAATTTGAAATAAAAACATCATTACTGAATTTACAAATCACAAAGATTTACATTAAATGTCGATAATGGTGACCACTGTTTTCAGTGCAGTACACCCATAACCCTCATACACCCTGCAGTATTTCTGATGTGATTTCACTTCTGCTACAGTATGTTGTACATAGTCCTACATTTTCATATTTGTACAATAAACCTTATTTTTCATTTGTGCTCCACTGGTAAAGTAAAGTAAAGTAAAGTTTGTCCTGCCACGTGCCATACAGGTGCTTGGGGTGAGTGGAGGTATAGCTCCTACTCATTCTTGACCTCAGCACTAGATGTTGGTGTGGTCAGCATTACCCCCGGGAAAGGACCCTGGTACCCATTGTAGAGGAGGCTGGGTGGGCCCCAGAGCCGGTCTGGACGCAGAGACTAGAGGAAAAATCCTTTACCAGTAGAAATCCAAAAGTATCTGGTGAGCAAGATGACTGCTATACAGTACCATTACAGTCTACCAAATGGTTACCCAGCAGTCTTGAGGATGAGAACAGATTGTTCTCAAAACATTGGCAGAAGATATGGTTCATTCACCTTTCAGCCACCTGATGTGGCTTGTAGCCCGAGAGTCTAACCTCATCTTGTTGCCATGAACGCTTCACTTCATAGGGTCTACCATATGATTCTTGAATGCTAGCACGATTGGTTTCTGCATGATGATGCTTCTGCTCAATGTTTTTTTTTCCCTCACCCTTTAAAACAGTTCCCACATCACCTAATACAGAGTTAAATATTCCTGTTGGAAGCATCTATTAAGGTTACATGTTTCTAAATCTCCAAGTATAGTCTGTGATTCTTCATTAATCACAATGTTACCAAATTCCCCTCGTGCATTAACTTGAGTTTTGGAAACGGAAGCCATTCAGTGTATTTCTATGGCAGGAAGGGAGGTATACAGAGGGTGTGGGACAACTAATGATATGTCTGCACTGTCAAGACAGTTGCTAAATGCATGGCATATAGAGAAAGAGAGTCTATATAAATGTTTATCACACCGCATATGTGTATATGTGAACACATCATGTGCATTTTCCTGCATGCACTCACAAATCGTCTATGCTGGTATACTTTCCATATTAAATACTGTAATTGCCAGTCAGGCAACTCCACCATTCTTTCCACTTGTCAGCAGGTAGAAGTTCACTGAAGAAATGTATCACAATAATTGGGAATGGTGAGAAATAGATGAGAGAATGGATTGTGGCATTGCTATGCAGATTTAAATGGGAATCAACCCTCAATGCCCAGTGCTTTCATGATGGTGATATGCTATGAAATTGGAATTGTCTGTCTTTAATTACATAATAAATCATATGTTCATCACTATATTAATCTTATTTGAAAATACTGTATAAAATTTTAATTTCTTACTGCTATCTTCTAGACATAGATCTGCTATGCATGCATATTTATTTATATTGAAAATGAAGTTCTAATCACATTTAAATGAAGATGGATATAGAAATTATCAGTTCTTCCTTTATAATCTCTGAAAATTTCACTAGATTTTATAGCCACTTATCAGAAAGAGCAACAATTAGTCAGAGATGACACCAAGCTCAACTGTATTACTGTATTATCACATATCTGGCAGCAAATATACTACGACAATTTTGTCCTAAATTGATGAATATGCAAGGATAACAAAACCTGTGAAGTAAAATATGACAATGAAATTAAAAATGTAACATATGGTCATGTTAATGTGGATTATAGACTGTACTCACAACTACATTCTGAAAACAATGTACTTTAAAGTAAAATGGTAGTAGCCAATAATTACATTAAAACAACACACAAATTTACAAATAAATCAGTTAATCCCTTGATAAAATGTTTATTTCTGGGATGAATGTCCTTTTCCAACAGCTTCAGCAACAGAACTCCATCCATCAGAACTGTGAAATATAAGAAATAATACACTGGTTCTATAATTTATTTTAATATTAAAAGCTAAATCCTGTATACCCATATGACAAGTGTTACAGTATTAAAGTACTGAAATATGATTCAGTCAGCACAATCCATACATGGAGACATTTACCACAATGATACCGAAACACAGACTTCAAGGACTTTCCACACATACTCCTGAAAATGTCTAGGAATATATTTTGGAATGTATGAGGCATTTACAATTCCTTTTACAAAATTTTGCATCCATTTTTCCTACACAAATACTACTAGTCTATCAGAAACAGCAGTACAAGATTTTATCAGCACTAACCACAATCTTAAATACAACCTTGCACAAAAATATGTTGCATATAATATTTTATAGATTTTACAGTTAAATTTTTTTTTAGTAAAATGTGATATAGCAGATATATCAGTATGCTTTTAACATCTTAACTATATTCCATCATTACTAGAAAGCTTATGTACTAGATTGTTATCTGAGATGTGAACAATTTCAGGACTTTATCATTTGAAGAGCACAGAAAAGGCATGAAACTTAATGTACATTTTCATATACCTTTTTTTAATATCAATATAAATCTGTAAATAAATTCAGAGACACATAAAAACTTTAAAATATTTTTTAAAATGTTTATACACAAATATATGTAATAAAAAACCCATGTCTTTAGAATTTTACAAAAAGGAGGGTTAAGTGTGCTTACCGAATAAGCTCATCCAACTCCTGCTTTACTCGAGACACTCTTGGTGGTCCATGATATATGAAGGATGTATACAACTGTACAAGACTTGCTCCAGCCTTAATTTTATCATAAGCATCTTTTCCAGAAAATATGCCACCCACACCAATAATGGGAAGCTTACCTGCAGGACATGAAAGTGACATTGTTTGCTGTATATGGGAGAGATAGTCTGATCACTTCACTTCAAATCTGACATGATGTCACAGATCACTACAGTACACTTAGAACAATGAGATAAAGTCTATAACATTTAATTTAATTGAATATTGTAAATGGCAAACATTTTTAAAATTAGTTATAAAAGAGATGAATAAATTCCGCTTCTGGTATTTGCCAATATCAATGTTTTGTGACACTGAGTATATAAATTACCATATGGGTCCCAAGAATTTCATTATTTGTTAAGGATGTGCAAACACCCAAATTTTTAGCTGAACTTTACCTCACCTGTGGCTTTAAACTTGACTTTACAGTTATTTGTATCCATTTATCTTGATGAAGTGTACTCAATCACTGCCACTACACAGATCATGCAAATTTATCAGAATCTCCATTTCAGATTTGGGTAGTTGTTCTCTCCTCATGTGAATGATTGTGTATAATACATATGTATTATACACAGAATTCTGTAAATTCTGTCTGTATAGCTTCTTAATTCTACACATATTGAAAATATATTGTTATTGGTCTTCTGGGTTGTAACACCATGTGGACTTGCAGACGTAAATACAAACATTTTGGAGAAACACACAGTCTGAAGATGGAGACAATATTTTTCAGAAACACTGGCTAACATGGTGTTATAACCCAGAAGACCAACATCTACATCTCACTAACATGACAGCCTCAAATCAAATACAAATATTCTTGCAAATTATTGATCTTCAAGGTAAGTAAAGCCACAACACAAATCAGATACCTTCTGTTAGTCTGTACATTTCTGCTATCAATGCTGTAGACAAATCTGCAAGTGGTCTCCCACTGAGACCCCCTTTCTCAGTTGCCTGCCTGTCAGAAAGGCTTGGCATCCGTTTAATTGTTGTGTTGGAGATGACTAGTCCATCTATACAACACTGTAAATCAAGAAACTCACATTATTTCCAAACAGTAAATTTCTTACTTCTGACAAACAACTCCCTCACAGGTTTATTTATCATGTAATAAAGAGACTACTATCCAAAAAACAATCTTAACTGTAAGATTAAATGTGTGACCCTGTTTCCATATTGGCTACTCTTGTTTTTAAGTTCATCTATTCAGCATTAAGTTCTAATGATTTTCTCACAGCAAACACTTGATTATGCCACATTTCAAATCTGTGAAAAAGAAAGAACTTAAAAATGTCAAGTGTTAAAAGAAAATATCTGATAACAGAAACAACAAAGCATGGATATACAGTACACAAAAATGATAATTCATTTTAATGATATACTTTTCCACAGAAAAAAGGGAAGCAAACTGGCATGAATCACAACTCAATATGCAAGTTCTTAGTCATAACCTAAATTGATATTTCTAACCTTTTTGTTCTTTAGTACATCAGCAATGTCTTTCCTTTCCTCCTGTGTAAGATCAGGTGCTAGTTTTAATAATAAAGGAGGTTTTTTTGAACTCTTCAATCCATTACGTGCAGCTACTAATTTTGTCAACAATTTTTCAAGATGCTGCTTCTTTTGCCAAGATCGTAATCCTGGGGTATTTGGACTGAAATATAAATACAAACAAAAATTGTAATGAATTTTATGTTGTCAATGGTATGAATCCTCTCTAAACAATTGGCAATTATTCAGCTAATAAAGAAATTCCTTGTTGACATCGAACCTGTAAGTTTACCACTAACAAGAAAACACCACAAAGAAGTCGTTATTCTAAGCCAGTTCAATCCATTTGACATCTTCATGTATTTCTTCAAGGTCTATTTTACTAACACCTTCCCACCTATCCTAGAAATTCCATGGTGCAGTGTTTTCCTTGAAAAGCTGACAGTTACTTAGCTGGTCATATATTCCCTGTTTTTATGGAACCAAATTACTCAATACCATGTTTACGAAAGACAATTAAGTGATATGATTTTGAACACTTGAATCCAGTCCACATATCTGCACCTTCTATTTTTAAGTTCTATCGTAATATTGTCCTCTCACCTATGACTTGGTATTTCTTAGCTTACACTTATTTCCTATGTTCATTTATGTTCATTAGGCAAAATTACTTCATGTATTTATCATCATACTTGGAAGTACACACATAAGATGACACAAATGTGTACATCTTTGTGAGTGTATGTGGAAGGAATTTGTGAGCACGTGACCACATATGGATGAAAGACACATATAAATTTCTTTCTGTTTCTGCTTATAGGCTTTTTCTGGAACAATTTTTCAGCATTCATTTACTTGAGCAATCAATCCAAACATCGATATTCAGTAACTCCATTCTGGAGAAACTGATTTTGGTTAAACTTGGTTTTTCCTTTGCTAAATTCACTGACCTAAACCAAATTTTCATTCATATTATACAACATGGAGCAGACAGAAAAAAATGCATATGACAACAGTTGTAGCTACCAGTGACAAATACTTTATGTTACATGCATATTTTATATACAGGGTCTACAATTTATGAGGCTGCGGTCGTGCTTTGATCACGTGGTCGGCCGGCGCTCTGTTGATGTGGGCGGGAGTTGTGCTCGTTCTTCCGGTGGGTGACCGGCGAATCAGTTTCAGTGCCGCTAGTAACAGCGAACTACGAATATTTCTCGTCACTAATACATGTTATTACATTAATTGTTCTTACCTTAAATCACAAAAGATGTTCAAAGTGACTTCCTTGTGCTTGCAGGCAAGCTTCACATCTGGTTAACATGTTTCGAAATACTCGACAAAGCTCTTCTTGGTAAATTGCCGAAACCAATTGTCGAATATTTTCTTGAAGTGCTTCTGCAGTGTGAGGATTGTTTACATAAACTTTTTTCTTCGACATGCCCCACAGGTAAAAATGCACAGGTTTTCTGGGGAACGCGGAGGCCACTGATCGATAACATCTTCACCAAACACCTCTCTTAATGCCAACATCGACCGATCAGCTGTGTGAGCTGTAGCATTGTCTTGCATGAAGAAACCGTAAGTCTTTTCCTCATCGGTCATTTCTTGGAAAAAGGGTCTAAGTATTAAATTTACATAATGTTCACAATTTATCCGCACACTGTAGAAGCACTTAAAGAAAATATTCGACAATTGATTTCGGCAATTTACAAGAAGAGCTTCGTTGAGTATTTCGAAACATGTTAACTAGATGTGAAGCTTGCCTGCAAGCACAATGAAGTCACTTTGAACATCTTTTGTGATTTAAGGTAAGAAAAATTTATGTAATAACATGTATTAGTGACGAGTAATATTCGTAGTTCGCTGTTACTAGCGGCACTGAAACTGATTCGCCGGTCATCCACCGGAAGAACGCACACAACTCTTGCCCACATCAACAGAGCGCTGGCCGACCATACAATGCACCACGACCGCAGCCTCATAAATTGTAGACCTGGTATTATTCAGGTATTTCAGCTTACAAATTACAAAAAACTTAAAAGTCCTATATCATTTATGATATGAAATTAAAACAGACTTCTTTACCTAGATATGTTTATCACTAGGTAGTCAGCAACATCCCCAAACTTCTTTATGCCATCAATATAATCTTTGACAGGATCTTCAGAATGTTTATTTTGTCCTAAATTAACTCCAACAATACCCACAAAAGATGTCTTGGACTTCAGAAGCTTAAGTCGAGAGCATACAGCTTCATGGCCATCACTGTTGAAACCATACCTAATAAAACATAAATTTCTGTTACATATTTCCTAACTTGTTTTTTTGGAGGTGGAAAGTTATCTGCCAATATTTCTCAAGGTGAAGAAGTTTGGGAAACAATAATCTAGTGTCAGGTGGACAGTCTTTCTACACAAATTTTATGATTTAGTATAAACATGAACTATTTGCCTTAATAAATGCATTTATATAACAAATCACTCTTATTAACATCTATGCTTCTATCCAACACCTGTTGATTACTGCTCCATCTTTTTGAAGGCGAAACACCCGAGGTTGTTCATTTCCTGGCTGTGGAACTGGAGTGACTGAACCAATTTCTACAAAACCAAACCCAATCTTGTGAAGTGGTTCAATTACTTCTCCCTGCTTGTCAAATCCAGCAGCAATTCCTACAGGATTATCAAAGTTCATCTGCCACACCTGAGTTTTCTGTAATTAAAAAGGCATTCTTAGCAAACTTTAATATTTTTTGGATGTATTTATTATGAAACAAGTGGATGATAAGAAATTGGACTGATATAAACATAGTAAAGAAGACATTAATATATGATTATCATCACACAGGAACTTTAATACCAACTTACACAATTGGTTGAATGGTAAGACTTGTGAAAATCTTACCAATGTCAGTGGATCTTCATAGCAGCTTCTTGGAAAAAAGCCATATTTTGAAGTTATAATAGCAACCTTATGGGAAGTCTCTGGATTTAATGTATGCACAAGTGGCATCAAAATGTTGTCAAAAAATATCTCATTTCCTTTGTAGATGCTTATAGCAGAGAAGGCACCAAATGCACCTGTTGTCACACACAGCAAAGACTTTATTTTATACTGAAATGTAAAATGTAACAGCAATTAGTAACAGATATAGACACAATACATAAACATTCAGAAATGGCTAATCCTGTTTATATTTGTTGTAAATAACACAAACTCTTTTGCTTTATTACATTAGTTCCTTACTTTCCAGGTGTCTGCCTTTCTGGCAAAGGTTTGGAAATCAGCTTGAGATGGAAGAACCCACTGCACAAGAATCCTACTGTTATATCATCTTTAACTAGTCTAACCTAATTCACCATCATATTCATAACCGATATTCCCGGCGATATGAAGGCAATCTCTTACACTACCTTCGATTTGGACATTTTTGATCAAGTCAGTTCAAGGGAGGATACAATACTTCAGTCGATGACATTTAGTTTCAACTATTGACAGCGTCAAACAAATAAATACGATAGAAAGGTTGACAGCCACCGTATTCTGGTCGGGTTTTAAGCGCTGCCAACCACACTCTGGCTGATGCGCTTCTATATGAACTTCTATAGCATATAATAGACAAGGTTATGAAGCGTCGAGCGTACATTAAGTAATGGAATAATTACCATAAATCCGGGACCAATTCTCATGGCTCGGTATTAGCTTCTACACCTCGTCCAAGGAAATATTACAATTACACCATATCCTTACATATCAATATACACATCGAAATACCATGCGACTTTCACTTCTTTGGTCAATTATTTAAACATAGTATATACTTCATTGGCTATTATCAGTGTCGACGAAATGCCCGCCAATGTTGGGCACCAATCGAAGAGAAGGTGCTGTCATATAGTCACATTAATCCTCAAAATAAAAAATGGCGTTCTGTAAAATAATATCAAGGAATCATTTCATAATCATCGTCATGACCTTTGTAGGGCTAGACTATTGAAGTCTATTTATATGAAACCAAAAATGCTTCTTTTGCAACTAAATTTTAGTTCCATAAGTGTACATTAACCAGTTATATTCATGCCTTCATCCTTTTAAAATTACAAATACTCTCTAATAACACACTTCATGAAAGGTACTATAACTAGGGTTGCCAACTGAGGATTTCGAAGACTTCTTCCTACGAAACATATAATTGGGAAATTTCATAAAGCCCCTTGACCCCCAAAGCTGAAGTTACTCCACACAGCTGTTGTTGGCTGTGCATATCTAACTTCCTCCTTCATTCAAGGTCTTTTCCAACAGTATTTAGTCGTTCAAAACATCCAATGATACAGATTACGGAGTCACCGCCACCAAACGCCTTACACACCACAATCCCAAACTTCAGTCCAGTTCCCCACAATTTTCTTAATATGTTTTAATTTATATCATTTACATTATAACGAAATACAATACACTCTTGATGATGGTGTTACATACTGTTACTGCACATGGTCTCTAAACCAAAATATCACACATATTTTATTTCCTCCACACATGTTGCATGTGCTACTAATCTCAGTTTACTTACTTTAATCACTGTAATAGCAATAATAATTAAATTAAATTATTAAAACAACTGACAACAGCATAATGTCATTACAAACATTGCACAGGAGGCATGGTGTGAAAAAAGTTACAACACAAACACAGAAAAATACAATAAGAACTATAAATAATATGAGACCTGTGACAAAATGTACAAAAAAAAAAGTAGTTAATACTTCAAAGGTTCAACAACATCAGTTAACAAAATACCTGAAAATGTTATGTTCCTGATTATTACATTAACAGCAGAAACACATTTAGCTGACAAACTGATCTTGAAGTGAAGTACATTAAAAAAAACAAGTTTCTGTTTAACTTTGTTAGTATTTATACCCTATGAGAATAAAAAAAAGATAAGGTACTAATTTTTGTTTTGTACAACACTGAAGAGGAATAAAGCATCTACATACAGCTTCCTGGAATGGATTGTTGAAATACTCAATTTAAAATGCCTTTATATTTATGTACAGTTTGCCATAAATAGTCAACTAGGTTTCCAGTGCTAAATCCACTCACCTGCACTGCAGAACAGAGTGGCTTCACACAAGACACATATTTATATGTGTACAGTTTTAGTCATAAAATTGAATATTCAGTATCACATATTTTCAAAGATCACATCTTGTCTATATACCTCAGTATCTGTCCATCTCTGAATCATTATTATATAAGTAACTTACTAATAGTAGAGTGTAGCTGAAAAAGCAAAGTAAAGCTATTCCACTATACGCCATGTAGGTGCAAATTGAGAAGTATTTTATATAGCAGCAACACTTGTGAGACTTTCAGAAATATTATCATTGTTGCACACAGGATACAGAGCGGTTTGTCTACACAGATACTTGGACCAGGTGCATTAAATGATTCCAACTATCACTGTTATCATGAGACCTTTGGTTTCAATGTCAAACACACAGGCAAGTGATCAGTGAGATTTGTGAGAGCAGAGAGAAAGCAGTAACCTACAATTTCTGTGGAACCTTTATAAAGAATCCTATCCACTCTTCTTCTTCCACCATGAGGTAGAGGTTCAACAAAACCTTCTGGACCTGGTTGAACAATTGATGTCATAAGATGTGTAGAATGCACCTGTAGACCAAGATGAGCTTTCTATTTTAAACAAATTAAAATGTATTATTGGGTTTCTGGATTTTGTTCATCCTCTTGTATTCTGAGCATAACACAATGTTTCAGGAAATGGATGTTTCATTCACTAAACAATGTAAGCCAAATGACTGAGATTAGTTGTTTCTTAAGGACAAAACTGAGGGGGTACCTCCATTGTTAGTATTACAATGTAATCAGCAAATAAAATGTGTAATAGTTTTTATTGTTCAATGCCACTGTCTACAGAACTCACCAGAACATCTGCATCCAAGACATACAATCTCCGTAATGAATCATCCACTAATATTTTTCTGAAATTATCTGGATCCATGATATCTAGGTGATGTAACATGCACTGCCGCAATTCAGTGCCAACTGCCCAATCCATATCCTGTCCTGCTTTTGCAACACAGACATCCTGATATTCTTCAAAGAGTAAATGCTGCTGCACATCCTTATCAGCTAGGAAATTTGGAAATAAACCAAATGTAATTCAAGCCCTTCAATGCAGATTTATTAACAGCATTAAGGTGGACAGATTCATTAACATTCCACGGCTTTTATGGAACCTGAAGGTTCTTTACTGTGCTCACAAGAGCACAACACAACACCTGCCCCAAAGCGTGCTTCGTGTGTTGTACCCTATATGTCCCTTCATGATTCTATGACAGACGTCACGATGTGCATTACAACGGATGTACTTTGTACGGTCGTGTGGCCCCAGCCTTAGATGACAATATAAAAAGGACTATAATGTTATAAAAACATGAATTATAAGTTTTGCACAAAGAAGTAAACTATGATCTCCATTCTCTACTGTCTTAGAGAAAATATAATCACATTACAACCACATGTCATACATCAGAAACAAAATATCAGACTTCATATGGATGGTAATGTTGGAAGTAAAAAACTCGTAAGAAAAGCAGCTCTACTGATAACATTATCTTACCTGGAGACATATTATCAGCATTGAAATCACCACAAACAATATCAAAGTCAATTATGTCTTTGGGCTGTGTAGTTTGCTCCTTGAACAAAGTTATAAATATTAAGGCATCTGTAAGCTGTGACAACAGCACAGCTTCAGACCCTTGGAAAGCTTGTGTATGCATATTAGCAATATAACCAACATGACGGTCACCACATTCATCATAATTTAACAACACCTATAAGAAAATATTTGTGTTTATTAATATTTACATCATGAAAGGAACAAATATGTAAACATTTGCATATGAAGACAAGTAGAAAGGCTGTGACATAACAAGGTATACAACTCTGTACATTTACAGTAGCCTGTTTCAGAGAAACAATGAATGTAACACTTATAAATGGATTTTCCTGTTGATGTTTCTTTACAATAATATGCAGGAAATCAACAGTGCTGAACAATGTCACAGCTCATTTTATTTCATGTCAGTAAAAACACTATTTTGTCTGATAACTGCAGCTAAAACCTGAAGTGTTAATTAATATTCTGTAACAAAACATGTTCTATTATTGAATGTTAAAACATTATGTTATATGCTGTATCTGAAAAGCACAGAAAAATTATTACTACATAAAAAATCAGAGAATATGACAAAATAAAATGAAGTTATTGAATCCACAGCCTTCAGGTAAATTTAAGACTGTGTTATGGTTTCTGCAATACAGTGTTTCCATTTACTTATTTCATAAAGAATGACTAGAGTACATAAAATTTATCAGGGTAGTTTAGAATAGAATTTATTTACATTCCATGATCTCACATAACTAGTGCTCCTTCCAGAGTGACAGAAGAAGATATACAATGTATTGTGTTGAGATAAAGTTTAATTATTTGCATTTTAATTTATTTTACTTTCTTCACCTACACTTAATTATTATACTATCAAAATAAATTACTGCCTTTACCTTTTACTACAGCAAATAAAGCCATGAATGATTCTAAGTGAAATTTCAGGTACACATAGTGGCGAGTATGAAGATAACAGTCTTCTGGGATCCTGCACCATGCAATGTCACTGAAATTGACTGACAGTTCAGAAGTGCTTACTTGATGAGTTTGCCCCAATAATGGAGGTAGTAAGCACCTCTGAAATGTCAGTCAATTTCTGTAAAACTACATAATGCAACATCCCAGAACACAGTTATCTTCAAAACAATTTTATTTGCAGTAAGATTTTATCATTTATAATTCTTGTCCAGCAATACAAGTTTCATATAAGCATTCAGAACATAAAAGAAGTTAAAGAAATATTATAATAAGAAGCTGAATAGCTTCATGTATGCATTATTGGAAAAGGAATTGACATCTGACCTTTACACAGAGTACTCCTTGAGATGTACATCTTGCATGCTTAGTTCGAAGTGTGAAGATATTAAAATCAGCATCAAGAATAGGTTTCTTACTTGCAAAAAATAACCCACTTCCTGAAAAGAATCAAGTAACTTAAGCAGTCGGCTTACATCATACAAGCTACGCAACCAAAAAATGTAACACTTACCAAGCATGCAAAAGTTTTTGCTGAAACAGTAATCCCCAATGTCATAAAGAAAGTATGAGAATTCTTTCTTCAAATATTCAATTAAAATCAGTGCATATGGACGTTCCCAAACTTCTTGCAAACAGAGAAAATCAAGGCATGGGAACTCAGTTAATATGCTATTATACTTGCTCTTAATTTCAAATTCATTTCCAGTTACCAAATTAGAAAGTGGTTTTCCTGTGTGATTCAGTATTCTTTTCGCTATTTCTGAAGTTCGAGCATATGAGCTCTTATTATTGTTCAGCCTAGCTATTACTTCTGGTGCCAAAAGAACATTTACTGATGCCAAAGTATATGTCCCCGAATTCTGCAGTTCACAGTTTATATCATCTTCTGAAAAAAATTCATCAGCACTTAAGTACGTATATTTTTCTTGGCGTGTGGTTACACAGAGCATCACCCATATTACTATTCCCAACACTCCAAAGGGCAATAATAACAAGAGAAGTAATGCACACATCGGACCTAAAAAGAAATAATCGAACAGCTTGTGCTGGGGATGCTGTTTCTCGAAAATTGTTGAAATGTAACATGCAACGAAATGACTGAAAATTGTTAGCCAAGGGCTCATAAAGAGAAACGATATTTCATCTAACCATTTCGCTGTAAAGCTAGAATATCGGTTTGAGACATACATTATAAATGTCACTTGTAAATATATTAAATCTATGTATTTTTCTAATTAACACACGCCAGTACACCACTTCACTTGCACTTACAAAATAAATCTAAATAGTCCACATTTATTACTTTTTGACACTTGCTTCCACAACTACCAACATTGAAACTCATTTTATAGAGTTTGGTATTATCATCAAATTGCAGTTTATATTTGGTGAGAGGGTGTTTTTAATTGATTATTGCTTTTATAAAATTAACTGCTCGTGGCTTTGACATCAGACATTATAACAGAAAACGTTAGAGTAGCTTTTAAACACAGGTAAAACTATCAATGTTGCACTCATGTCAGTACTACATGTAAAAGGGAGAGGTATCCAATAATTTTGTTTTATCGGTGCCGTGTTGGGTGAACAAGAAGGTTCAAAATGCCAGGATTTATAGGTATTCACCTAGGTGAGATGAAAATAGTCATGACGCAGAGGGTTCAGAAAACTTTAATGTATCCTCTCTCGTAATCGTAGAAATTTGCCTGTAATTTTACCATATGAGGTTAACGGAACTTGCAACACCATTTCTTGTTGTTTCTTTTTTAGAGCAAAATAAATTAGCGGTTCCCTTATGGTCTCTTTAAAATCCCTGACATCTAACTGCTATCTAGATATGATTTATGATTTTGTTCCTCTCTGTTGGCCGTTATTTCCTTCTTGTGTAAAAATCAAGTGTATCTTAATATGTGTTGTTTATGATCATCACTTGTGCTTTATTCTTTGGGTTAAGGGTGTTTACTTACAGTCAAAATGTAGACATGATTCTGTATGGCCCATTTAGGTGCTGGCAAACATTCTGAAGCACTGTGGCAAGAATATAAGAAGCTGTGTTGTAAAGCATGTAACAAAGTAAGTATATGAACCTTAGGGCAAACAGTGGGAATGTTTATAAAGTCATTAAAGTGTTATGATTAACTGATTAATCACTTAAATTTGGTAGCCATTTATTTGTTTTATTTATAAGTTGCTTAAGAGAATATTTTCAAACTCCATAGTATAACAGTTGGTTTAAAATGTGTATGTTGGCGAATATTGCTATAGGAGCTTTCAGTTTATGTTCATTTTTATTAACACATAATGTATCATCTGCTGTGAATTATCATATGTTTCTTCTCATATAGGGATATTCACTTTTGGCTTCAGGGGCCACAGCTCTGGAAACTGTAACAGATGTCATAGCAGTGTTAGAGAACTCCCCTCTAACCAATGCTGGATATGGTTCCAACCTAACATGGGATGGACATGTAGAATGTGATGCTAGTGTGATGGATGGTTGTACATTACATTATGGGGCAGTTGGGGCTGTGCCTGGTGTGAAGAACCCAGTGAAACTTGCTCACCATATCTGTAAAAAGCAGAGCTGTAACGCACTTGCACTGGGGAGAGTTCCACCAAGGTTAGTTTCTGCATGTCTACAATACATCCCAGTTCACATTTGGAAGGACTATGATCCTGACTGGAGTTTAGAACCTTTCTTAGTCTATTATATACACTGTACCCCTGCTATGATGTATTCTACTATAGCACAGTCATAATCTATATGTAAAGCAAGTTTTGTATTTCTATTTGAAATTCTGAGGTTTATGTTTATTAATTTGTAAAATTATTTTTCATACTTGTATTGCAGAATATGAAGTTTATGTACATTGATATGTGAAATATGTTCTTGTACTTGTGTTGAAAGTTCTGAAGTTAATGTATATTGTATGAAATGGCATGTTCTACATCCTTTGGTTGAGTCGTAAGAAGGATCTATGGAATGTAAATAAACTCTACTCTACTCTCTAATGAATCTAAAAGTTTAATATTTTATGTAGGATCTCGCTGATGATAAATTTTAAAGAATAGTTTAATATTAACAGCTTAATGCACATGAAGTGGGGAAGGTTTCCTGAATTAAGAAATGTAATGAATATGAGGTGTAAGATAGGTTTAATTTCACATTGTTTGTTAAAAGGGACATGATTATTTTTAGAAAGTGTAGAAGTTATGATATTCCTCATACTGAAATATTCTCATTTCCTGTCAGATTTTTTTCTATGCAGTCTTTCTTCAAGTTCTGAAGATATCAATGTTTATGTACTTGTAGGGTTTACTTTGTTGCAGCAGCCTAATTAATTGATGTTCATACTTTAGTTTGTTGGTTGGAAATGGAGCACGTAAATGGGCTGAGCAAGCAGAACTAACTACTGTTCATTCCAGGAGACTTATATCAGGTATGTAATACTGTGACCTAAACATCAGAATTTTAAAAAAATTGTATATTTAACACAGTGTAAGGACCATTTTAAAGTGTATTCTGAAATAATTTTTATATCAGTACATAAGTTTGTTTTGTTTCTTGTTAATTGCAGATAAAGCATTAAAACAATATCACCATTATAAGAAGAAAGTGGAAAGATACCAGATACATACTGATAAGGTCTGTGATCAACGTGTGACATAAAATATTACTTATTAATTATTTTATTCTACCAAAACAATGTGAGAACTTTGTACATGTGAGAACTACAGTATTTAAACATTACAGTGCAACCAACAATATTCTATTGAATAAAGCTTAGGTCTGCAGGAGTTCTTACATTATTTTCACCCTATTTCTGTAAGTAACAATAGAAAATGAACAGAGTATCTCCTGAATGGTGTCATAGTGGAAGACTGTTAAGAATGAAATGAATACCTCTGTGAAACAAACATTTTCTTAGAGCACTACTGGAAAACATTGTAGTATGGGAAGAATTGAGAATCTTCTGAATGGTGCATGGTATGTTACTTAATGCACATATTTTTTTTATGTTGGTAACAACAGTGAAAGAAAATAATGTGGAATCTACTGGATCTCACTGTGAAACATATAACATTTATAATGGGGGGAAATTGGATATGAGCTCTGTTTTCTGCTTGGGGGGTGGGGGGTGTGCACCAATGTTGTGAAATAACTGAAAATAATAATAGCCAACACCTGAAGAAAAATTAAGGGCTACTTTTTAATAATCCTGTCAATAGCCGAGTGTCAAAAGACAAATAATTAATTGGAAGGTATATGAAATTATACATTTTCTGCCTAATTTAATGTACTACCTTGTATTTGTTTGGAGGGACTATAAACTTGCAAAGAGTTCAGGATAGCTGGTGTCCAGGCTGAGATTTGAACCTGGGACCTCCTAACTGTGAAATGAGTACTAACCACTTAGCCATGATGATGAGTTATCTTCCTGATTTTAATGGCAATGAAGAATGACATGGCTTTCAGATGGCACTAAAATTATAAGATTATGTATGCATTATCTTTTAAAAATTTTATAAGGGCACGTGCTGAATAAGATCATCTTTACAAGTTGTAATTGACAATATGAATATTTTCATTGTGTTCAGATTTTATTCCAAAGTTAGCAAGTAAATGATTTTGGAAAATGCAATTTTTATTATCATGTACATTTATCATTTTCAGATTTTGACACCACTGGATACAGTAGGAGCTGTTTGTGTGGATGCATATGGTGATGTGGCTGCGGCTTGTTCTAGTGGAGGACTGGCTCTGAAACATCCTGGCAGGGTGGGGCAGGTGAATGTTCACTTCTGATATATATTCATTTGTTTACTTTAAGAGGGAATATAAATCTTTAGTTCAGTTTTGTAAATATTGTACTGCCAAAACATTCCAGTTTTCAAGAAACCTTTATCATTTCATGTGACACTTCTGTCTGTCTGGAGTTGCAGATATATATTTACAATTGCTTGGTATAGTGCATTCATATAAATTCCCTCTTAAAAACAACTCATGACATAGTTGTATGAAATATTAATGATGGCATAGAATAATGGAAGAATTAGACACTACAACACATATTAGTAACTATTTTAAATGCCACTGAATCCAGCCACACAATTTCCCCATAGATGTGTTCTGCTATCTCAGGAGCAGAATCATAAGATTCTTAATTATGACATTTCAGCAAGGCCTTCACCTTTCGTGACATGTTTCCAACAGTTTGAATTTCAATTCATAACTATGAATCTTATGCACTCTTCTATTTGATCTTGTATTGTCACTATCACCTCGCCTTCTTCATGGCATGCCAACACATGAAATTTCTTAATAAAGAATTAACACAAAAGCTGCAAAGGGAGGTGTATATGACTAATTGTTGAATTCTCAAGTTAGTCAGATGTTGAACAATTGAATCTCAGGAGTTATCCAAGGTGTTTCTATTACAATTTAAATTGTGTGTGTGTGTGAACATACATTGTGAATGATATTCTAATTCTGCATTCAACTTCACAAAATTAATTTGATTTCATTAACAGTTTATCTATTATTGTTATACACCAACAGATCTAACAAACTGATATTATGAGGGAGACAGAGAGAGAGAGCTAGTGTTTTTGTGACATACAGATCCTTTGCTAGAGAATTGTGAATGGACCTACTGATGTCAGTGTGGGAGGGAAGTACACAACCTATATGGATATACATCCAGTTAAATCTGCATAAATGCTTGGTCTACTTACTTTCAGGCTGCAACATATGGATGTGGATGTTGGGCATCCAACGGAACAAGTCACGTACCATCTGTTGCGACATGCACATCTGGTTGTGGGGAGTACCTTGTTCGCACCATGCTGGCTAGAGAAGCAGCTCTTGAGGTTCAAAAGAACAGTTGTTCTGTAACAGGACTTCACAAAGTAATGAAAACTAAATTCATGGGTGAGGCATCAAAATTCAGAATATTAATTACAGGTTTTCATACTGAACTGCTGAACAGATTCACGTTTATACCCTTAACCCATTTTTACAAAGGTATTTGTCAATCCAGAGGAGAATGCTGAGATAGGTCCTAGCATGTTTCCTTCACATTTCTCATGTCAAATTTATCAACACACTTCAGTCAACATCACCATCACCACCACCTTTATTGATGGTAGGGGTTCTAAAAATATGGCATTAGGATAACCTGTAATGGCATGATATCTGTGCTGATTTTCATGGCATCACCCTTAAAAGTTGTTTCCTCTTTTAGGTTCTGTCTCTGCGTTTCTTAGGTGGGTAGTCTGCAGGTTTCTTTTTTAGTGTTGTTTGTTAGATTGAAGTATTTTATGGAATCAAAAGAATAACTTTTCTTTAAAAAAAAGTTCATATTCCACTGAACTTAATTTCATGTGTGGGAAATCCAGGTTTTGTAATGAGGTAATAAATACCTATGTTTGGATATGCCTGCACACTTTTGGGCCAGAATAGTTACATGATTGAATCTTGACACAACTATAGATCCACAAAAGAATGTATAAAGAAACTACGATTTTTGGAATTTGAATATTCATATTTTGTGCTTTAGGTGGACTGACAGAAACACCATTTATTATTATATCTTTAAGAAGTTCAGTACAAATATGCCAAAATTATAACCTTCAATATCAGTTATTGAAAAATGGATGAATTGGTTCCATTTACATTTTTCTAACCTGTATTGTTTTGTAGAATCTCCATTCCTTCATGGTGTGGAAGAAAAAATTGGAGGATTAATTCTTCTCAAATGCTTTCCCAATGATGAAACTGGAGAATTTGTATGGACACATTCTTCCAAAACAATGTGTGTTAGTTACATGAGTGATGCAGAAAGAAGACCTACGGTACTGTATTCATTTGATTTATATTTTCTGTACCTGTTCTCTGTGTATGAATGTGAAGGGTTTATTTTGAAGACATACAAACAGAGTAAGACTTAAAAAGAGGTAAACAGATATCTTTCACATTTTATGTAATTTTAAATATACTATTAGTGGTTTAAAATGAAGATTGAACATAAATATTGATGTGGGTCCAGTGGTTTGGAGGTTTAGTAGGAATAGTCACACAGTCCAGATTGGGAGTTTTATTTGAAGATAAATAGACTTAATTCAGTGTTTTAGTGTTCTGTATGTGCTGAGATATGTAAATGGTTTAATGGATTTTTCAGATTCGTATGTCACATTTGTCAAGTGGAGACACTCCTAGAAGCACTGTAGTAGTGGAGGGAGTAGCATTCAAGTTACATCCCTTAGCTGTGAGACCTGATACTAGTATATACTCATGACATTGAATCATGCTGCGAGAAGCTGTCATTTCCAGTGGACATCCTTATTTTCAGCTACTATATCAAGGATGTTTGTGTGAATATGAAGGCCCTGAATTAACTCATATAATGTGAGCTATGTGTACATGTAAAATTCATGTTGTTGAGGTGATTGTTTTAGGAGTGTGGCAGTAAATGCTGGAGGATATAAAATTGAAAATGAGGTAAGTGAGGTACCAGTAAAAGGGAACATAGACCATAACTTACAAACCTAAATACGAACATGATTTGGGTATATTAATGTTACAAATTTTTTAAATAATACTGCTCCATATCCCTCCATACTGTACTGTGCATACCCTTCAGAACGAAAAGTTGGGACCCACAGTGCTCAAGCACTTGAAGAACGGGTCGTCAAAATATCAAAGTAAAGTTATAAAAGTATGACAAATACTCAAACTAATCAGGTTAAACAGTAACATAATTATTGCTAATATATCAGTGCAACAACGTTTCATACTTGAAAACAATATTATTACAAAGATGGCTGTCTTCTGGGTGTTAGCACTGTTAATTTTACCAACATTTCAGAGGAAAAAAGGACCTCTGAAATGTTAAACTTCTATTAGACTACACAGCGTTACAACTCAGAAGACAACATCTTTGTATTTGCTGCCATGAAAACCTCAAATCCTCTTTACATACCTCAACTAATTTCCAAAGAAGTATATATTAAAATTTACATACTATAATTTTACCTGTTATATTGTATGGGAATGAAACTAAGTCTTGCATTCCAAGTGGAATAATAAAAACTGAAGGTATTTGGAAACAAGGCACAGAGGAGAATATCAGGTTCCACAAATATGGAAGAACTGTGAAAATAAAAGAATCAAATGACACTTCATAGTATTATGCAACACCTAGTATTGATATGGAATAAGATTGAGATGAACTGGACATGAAAAATGTTGGTACAGAAAACTGATGAAAACAGTCATTAAGACGACGTAGCTGAGATATGTAGGATAATATTAAAAGGATTGTGGGAAATAGAATGAAATAATGTTAAGTGGGTGGTCCATTGGTCGTTGTGACCAACATAAGGATTCCATAAACGAAACCTTCAGTGCTTAAGAAAATATTAAAAATTTAAGGAATCCATTGCATCAGAGAGTTACAAATTAAAAAAATATTGGAATCATGAATTTCATTATCTGGGACTTTTATTGTATGAATGTACTTTGTTTTCACAACTGTGATGAAATAAGAAAATAATTATGAGTGAAAAAGTCTGTACTCAAGAAAATTTGTTTACAAAAAGCAACTGACACAAAAGTGTACAAATGTTATATAAAAATTTAAAGAATTTGAAGCAGCATTTGAACATTCTTTGCTTGTTTTTATACACTTAAATTCACTAGTATCATGCTGAAGCCAAACACAGTGGCCAGATAATTAGGTGGAACACCAGTACCAGAAACATACACTCTGAAGTCAATTAAATAAACTGGAAGATTTCCATCTTCTGGGTTGTTGTGCCATGTAGTCTCATAGAAGTTTATCAACATTTCAGAGATAATCAGAGTAATCATTACCATGATAATAGAGGCAGCAAGCACCTCTGAAACACTGGTAAATTTATACCAGACTACATGGAGCAACAACCCAGCAGACAACCATTTTCATACTCACTACCATGATAACCTGAAATCTCACTGAATAAAGTGGGATTGAGCGCACACAGCTCCTTCCATTTTCTGACACTTCTAGATGACTTAAGAATACAGTAACATCTTACATTCTATACTAAAGTTTACAACGCAAGGTGGACCAAATGAATCCTATTAACTTAACACTGCCAGTCCCTTGCTAACCAATCATTCAAGCAAGAAACTGTTGCAGTGCTATTCACTCTCTGGAAAAAATCATCTTTGATCTGAAATGATAAACAATAATAGTTTCTCTAATTTGCATTTATCCTCATTCTCAACTGGGCTACTGATTTTACTAACATTCAATTGTCATGTTTCACTTAGCTTTTCCATATATTTAGGGAGAATTATACACAGGAACATTTTTGTAGCTCTCAGAGTTAAATTTTGTACCCCGTATGTGATCAGGAATTGGAAATCTCATTGAAGAAAAACTATTACTGTATTACAGTTTATTATTTATAGAGAAATAAGAACAAAAAATTAGATTAATCTTTCTTCCAATCTACTCTGATGGCACATAAATTCTGAAAACTAAACTGATTGTGCCATGTAAAACAGTGTCTCTGAATGTGTATTTTTCTTGTTTTCTGCAACATCCAGACCAGTTCTAAAGCCCACCCAGTGGGTACTGGAGTTTATTCCTTGGAGGTAAAGTGGGCAGGGGATGAAGCAGACCACTCACCTCTATCTAGTGCTGAGGTTAAGAACATGTAGAGCTATACCTAAGTCCCCTGTACATCTGCATGGTATGATGGTTAATTAGGCAGAAATAAAACAATCCATTGTAGTTTCAATTGACACTGTAAACATTTACACCATACTATTGATAGAATTATGATTTTCAGTATTGGACATGTGGTCTGTGAAAATGTAAAGCAGAAAGCTACAATACTGATTCTGGCCAGGATTATCTGTAATAAAGTCCATCACTAATTACATAAATTACTATAATCTTAGTATTCTTATAAAAGTTCTAAAATGTAATTAAAACTATTTAAAATACTCTGCTGAGATTCTTTCCAGTTAACTGGTGCTGTTCCCTTTTACAGCCCAGTTACAATTTCAACATACAGATGAGATAAAGAAAAATTCAAATGTTTATTTCAGCATTTGTGTGACATACATATCCTATATTGGCCCTAATCCATGTAACCAACTGGCTGAAGTAATGCACTTCAGACATTAATTTGTATTATGTAATGCTGAAATCAAACATTCTACAACTTTTACAAGTCTGTGTGTAAATAATACTTCTCCCCACACACTACTTGTTTCTTATATTACTGTGTTACCACAAGCATTCACACCTGCAGGTTAGTACATACAGTATTTATTAAGGTTTCACAATGAGAGCTTTATCTTCAGTAATTGTTTGGCAGATAGAATTAACAAAAACTGTGCAGGAAATTAAATACACTGAGTAGTTCAGAAGTTGTATGTCAACTTCCAACTGTGTTCATCTCGAAGTTATTTGTGCTGTGCCTTGTGAGTAAGTCCATGAGAGCATTTTACCACTAACAATGAAGTGATATGCCTTTGCTTAGACATGTGATGCAATAATGCCATTAACTGCCCAATGCTTTGTAACTATTAGTACTCAATGTAAAGTCATGCTGGATTGGAGATGAATAAGAGGCTGTGACAATATGCTGGCTGATCAGGCCTTTTGCACACCTCACAGATAGTAGTATGGGGTATTCATGGAATAATGACTTGACAAGGGAAAATTGAAGTCTTAAGTAAAAACCTGCCACAATGTCTGTCACCAATCCCAAATGGACTATCCTGAGAGTGAACTCAAATTTCTATAATGGGAAGTGGCATCTGGCTGCTTGATCTTTGGATTTGTGTACATTACAGACATTGAAAACAAACTCAGATTGAAAAACCTTATCATGAACAGAACTTATTGGTTGCTGGAAAGTGCATCTACACTAAACTTAATGAAAAGAAAAGCATAGTTAATAATAAAAACAGAGATATAAACCTGGAAGTTATCAGTAAAATATGATATATATATGTAGCATATTGTACATGAAACAATAAATAGGTGTTTCTACTTATTTGTACATGGAACATTTGGAAAAGATGTCCTTGATGCACACATTTGATTAGCACTCTGTAACAATCATCAGATAAATGATATAAACTCTGACAAAAAAAATTATTGAAATATTAAATTAATAGGCCTATAATATACACTACATTAGTCTGGGCACCATAAGTATTTTATCGTTGTATCACCATATCTCCACTCTACTTACGTTGTTAGGCCAATTCAGTCTATTATGTGCCATCTTTGGCTTGTGCTTTCTGTTGAAAAATATATTTATTTAACAATTATGGAAGTAAAAAGTGCCTTTTTGGAAGACATTACATGAAAGTAACTATGTAATATATGTTTCAATATTAAAGAATAGTCCATTCCCAATAAAACATCTAAAATATTTATAAGAAGTTCAGCAGTACAGATTCAATACTTGTGCCTCTGAATACCAGTCACTCTAACCTTGGAAGTCTTCTGACATTCTGTACTCATTTCCACAACTGCTGATAACTAATCTCTTCCAGCCCTTTAATCCCAATCTCTATTTCCTTCCAAAAGTCCAAATTATTTAGACTCATGTTCATTTTGACGTGTCTAATGATGGGTCACCAACTTTCAATGTTGAAAGCCGGACTGATGATGATGATGACACTACTAGCCAGAGTTTCGCCATTCATTGTTTTAGTGTCTTGTACAGTGAAACATAATTTCTGTCCATCAGTTCCTCAAATAATTTGTAATGGATGGATTATCACTGAATTTGGCACATAAATGGATGGGACAAGAACTGAGATTGATCTTACCGAGTGAGATTGATAAAGCAAACAGTGGGTTATGACCTCTAAAATTTTCATCACAGCACCTTTTATTTCCCTTGTATCACTGGATTAGTGAGGCCAGTTTCTGGAGGTCACTGATTCAAGGATAAACTGGGGGACAAGCTATTCCAGCTTCAGAATTCTCATCTTTTTTTATGATCTTTCCAGTAAATGCAATGCTGGTACCCTACAATATGCATTCTACATTAAAAAAATTAAGATGATGACACAGTGTAATTTAATACACCTAGAGTACAAACAAATGGTTGTGGTATATTTATTGGAGAGCTTTCCTTTCTTGTGTAACCTGCCACAAGTAAGTGATACGTTTACGCACGCATGTGCGCGCACACAAGGGCATAGCAAATCACAGCCACCACTCTTCCAAAGTAGATATCTGTCCTACTGAATGAAACAAAATGAATATGTGCAAAAGGAAACATTTCATGAAGTCTGAAATTAGGTTTTGAAGACATTTCTATGTTATTCTGACATTAAAATCAACCTCTACAATCACTGCAGACAGCATTATGGTAACATAAATATGTAAAAAGAAAGCACTGCTTCAATAAATAAGTATACATTATCATAGAATAACCATATAAATCATCACGTATGTAGGATTAAGTCATGATCGCTGCAATTCCATTTACAAATCAGTAGTTAGTGCACACTAAATTGCTCTCAGTCTTGAAAGCAATTGAAAGGACTTCATAGGCCTAATACAGGAAAGGATGATGATAATTGCTCTTAATATGTTAATATCCATTATTACTAAACAGGCACAACAAAATTCAACATTCTTTGTCAACATGTCCCAACAAATCAGTAAAAATTGGGCTCTTCCCTTTCTAAATATTGCTCATCAGCTGCAAAATAATTTCTGAAGTTATATTCTTTGTGTTACAATGCAATAATAATGTACTCTGTGCATAAATATGTATATTTAAAGATTTAAAGAAGACTTTTCTGCATAACTTATTAAGTAGGCATGTTCAACATGCGTGAAATTAACACATTTTTATACTTCGGTTTATGGTAGCACTGAAAAATACACATGGTAACATTCCTAAACCCTCTGATCAGTAGGCACATACTTTCAAGCAGTGGACACTGGCATAGTATATGCATACATTTTTATCCAAATTTTAAAACTGTCATGTGCTTCCAGCATTGATTGAAATACCCCACTCCTGAAGGCCTATCATATGGCAAGAAACCATACTAATCAAAGTATTCAGTTGCTTTGTAAAAATAATTGGATGAAGAAAATAATGCAATCTGGCAAAAACATATTTCATCAGCTGATAAATTTTGTCCTTTTTGCTTGTCCTCATAACCTATAAAGGCAAGATACATAAGAGAATATCTACACACAACCATATTCATACCATATGGAATTTTCACCTTTTCCCTTTGTCTTAGTTGATCGTTTCTCTTCTGCTGTGTTTGGGGTTTGGGCTAGGCTTCCCTGGCTGGGACTTGGTGGCCCTTGAGGGGTCACTTGACTAGACTCATCTACTCCACCAATTACAGTTGAAATACGGTTATACACCAGTAATGACCTATGGTTAAATTAAGCATAATTAAAACAGTGAGCTGATGAACTCCACATTACAGGATCTTTAAATAACACGTAACAGTTACTCAGTTAAATAGTATGTGGTGGCAGGACCTGAAGGTTCACCACACTAATACCAAAGTCCACCATTGGAAACAATTTGGAACCAGTTCCATCCTCCTATCCTGACAATCCACTCCCTAAAATACTTTTTGGGCACATTCACAACTAAAAGTTGCAAAAATGTGCCCATAAGCTTCACCATATTTGTCTCTGTGCATGCAAAACTCAAGAATGGCTGGAAAGATTTGCATAAAGACAGATATTTGCCAGTTTTACTAAAATGTGTCAATATATTATAATTTTATGCAGAATTAGACAACAGTAATCAATACTGGTATTGATCTGAGAGGGACAATGTCAGCCATCCCAGGCACTTTATCAATTGTGCCAGTCAAGCTTACTGATAAGTAACAGCATAGCATCTAAGGAGACTGATTGTACCTAGAATCCTGTGGTGTAGAAGGGCATGGAACTTCTGGAGCGGTGCTATTGTCAATCGTTACATCTTGATCCTTGCACTGAAAAAATTCATAAAAAGGACTGCTTTATTATGTGGAATACATGGAAAAACATTGTAACATTCCTTGTTATACATCTCTATAAAAAACAAAATAATCCTGGTAATAAGCTATGTTTCCTCTGTATATAACAAGCAACCAATAGAGGAGTAGAAAATGTATGAATGTAAAGCTCTATGCATTCCAGACTTCTGAACTGGATGGAAGTTACATATTAGCTTCATGCCCTGGCTCCACTAACCATGAAACTGACTGGCTAGTTATATGTGTCTACCTAGTAAATAAACTAGTAAACACCACACTTATAACTCAGCACAGATCAACTCATTCACATTGTTTAGGATTTTTAAAAATAATTGTCTAAAAGTTTGTGGGTTACAAAATGTCTGTTTTCGCATGTAACAGTTCTGTTTTGAATACTTTAAGTTTACCTGATATATTACCATATATTTGTAAATTGTTGTTGAACATGGGCAAAAGCTGAAACTGAGGAATACATTCTATTACATTATGTATGTAACTATTTCATATTGTTACATTTTAAATTACATGAAATTTTATCCAGCCAATATGTAGTTGCTTCACATACAAAACAAACATGTTTTAGTAAGATCTGAAACATGTTTTATTTTCAGTCATTCCTAGAGCCCAGTGAAATTAACAGCTGATAATTATAAATATAATATTAAGTGAAATATATGAGTAATTAAATGAAATCCTGAGTTATGTACAATAAACAACCTATCAATATTAACATAATTTTGTGGTATGGCAATCAGGATAAATTACAGAGAATTTAAAGATAAACACAGAATAAAAATTAACAAATAACAGAATAAAATAATATGGCCACATTTTAAGAGTGAACATAGAGACAATCTCAAAGGAAGTTTTGAACATAAAAGCAAAAAGAAAATGTCCAAAAAGAGACTGAGATCAAGATAGGAACAACAGGTTAGGGAAAGTGTTATAGAGAAAGAATATAACCAGAAAATGAGTGAGGAGACCACAAGAAATGGAAACATCTTGGAGCACTATTTATATCTAGAAGGTGTAGAATCTGAATCTTGGCCTGCAGATGATCTTCCATGGTTTTCCTCAGTCCCTCCAGGCAAATTAATTTGCATCTCATCATCCATAATTGAGCTGTCATTTGACATTATATACCCTATGCATTTTTTGAACCATAACTCAATCATAACTAGAGTCAGACTTCGTGACTATTCACTTTCTTCTCCTCATTTCTACTATGTGCAATAATATCTTATATTCTCTCACATTACTAATACAGACGGAAGAGTAATTATATGTGGCCTATTAAGACATGCCTACAGCTTCTCATTAAGGGTTAAAGTTGCAATAACTTACATATGATTCTTGTGCTCTCTCTCTTGTCCCACTGTTTTCTTCTCCTGTGTAGTATACAGTTCTACGAGTTCCTGCACTACCTAGACTCAATGTGCTTTGTGTAAAACCATCTGAAGTGTGTGATTCTGTAACATAGGATGATATAACATATATAAAATCAAGGTGAAGTTATAGAATTCACTGGTCCTTACAAGACAGCCCAACAATGCTTTGTCAAATACTTACAATATATGTATTAATTTCAAAAGTGGTATCTTTATAACTGCAGTTATTAGTTTTGTTAAAATTAAATTTGTTTGCAAATCCCTGAAATAAATGCACAAAAATATAAACCTGGAAGGAACTGACTCCTCAAATCATCCAAACTAGCATCTGATTCATTGCCACCTTCTCCTGATTCAGATCCATGGGGTACAGCCACCTGATTTTCAGCATGCCTACTGTCTTCATGCCAAGATCGACGATTCTATAAAACAATACAAGGCACAAATATTTCATAAACCTACAATTCTCTGCCTTACAGATGTTACAAAAGAACAAATATACTAATTCTTCCTAGTATCAGTAAATGTTACATTCTGAATTCTTCTACAGGACTGGAAAAAATGGAGATCTCTAATGCCTTTACATAACTGCAAAGAAGAAGACTGACTAAGAAATTACACTGTAAGTAAATGGTGTTTACTTTCATTTCAGATAATTAACATTCATGGAAATGAGCCGGGATAGCTCAGTCAGTATAGTGACTAGCTACGGGCTGGACGACCGGAGTTCGATCCCCGACGGGGGCAGAGGATTTTTCCTCTAGCCTCTGCGTCCAGACCGGCTCTGGGGCCCACCCAGCCTCCTCTACAATGGGTACCGGGGTCCTTTCTCGGGGGTAAAGCCGGCCGGGGCGTGATGCTGACCACTCACCCCCATCTAGTGCTGAGGTCAAGGAAGAGAGGAGCTATACCTCCACTCACCCCAAACGTCTACATGGCGTATAGTGGGACAAACTTTACTTTACTTAACATTCATGGAATTATTATTCCTGTGAATGTAACAAAAACATGTAACATTTAATTTACTTTTCAAACCTCAAGTAATTAGATTTTACATATTAGTTTTCAATACTAGCAAACATACAGAAAACAGACGTTCATCATACACAATATTTTAATCACAATCAAAAGGTATATAAAACTGACATACCTTTGATTTTGAATAAAATTCTGTGTATGACAGAAATCCTATCTTCTGTATATTTGCTAAAAATAGCCACTAGCATGCATAAAATGGACACAAATTTCAATACACTAAGGATGTCAATGTGATAGTAACTCTTCATTTATATGTATACTTACTCTTGGTACCTTGTTAATGAAATCTGAACCAGCTTTCCTAACTCTTTTCACGAGAGTAGCACCAAAACTTTTCCTGAAAAAACAGAAAATACATTTTGGATGCAGCTGCATAAACTGTATTTGGACATATTAATAATAATGATAATACCTTCATTAGTGGGATCATGACTGCAGTTTGTAATATTAAGTCATAACATAATTTTGCAATCTTTCTTGTTTCTACTTACTTTAATATTTATTCTTAATACACTTGAGACATTTCACCTGTAAACATGAATTAAATAAACCTTTGTATTAACCCTTTAGATAACATAACAAACTTAAACAAATATTCCACACACTTCACTTCAATTTTTAAACATAACCACAGCACAACATATTATATAATACACATGTCTGTGAAAATATCATAAGTGAAGTGAGGACTATTCTTCCTGGATTATTATGAAAACTAACATACTATTTATTTTTTAAATAAATAACAATTTTAATATGAAAATAGACAACTCTTATATTTTTCAAATGATGAATTTGGGAAACAATGTTATACTGAAAGTGCCCCCAGCACCAATTGGACAAGAAGATACATGAACCCAAAACTTTTCCAATACACCTATCAAACACTGAAACCTCGCAATGCAGTCTTCACTCACTGATTCATGTAATTCTTTTTATAGTAATGTGATTTTGGTAAAACACTCAGTATATTATAACAGTAAATCACAATCCTGAGACTGAGAATTTGTTCATGTTCATCATTAATTTCTTTGCGACAAACACTGTGACTAACAATGAAGGTACTCACTTTTTTGTCGAACAGCTGTCCAGTTTCCGGTAATGTTCCATTATCTTTTCCTCCAGTTTTTCTTTCTGGCGACAAAGGTTGTTTAGTCTGTCTCTAATGAAAGGAAACCAAACAATGAAGATTACAAAGAGCAACAACTTGCTAAAAGTATTTAACACACTACATCAGATACCCACTTTATATTCAACATTCAAAAGTTCATGAATTAAACATAAGATGGCAAATTTATATCTTCCTTGGTGATAAGCTGTGGAAAGCAATCTTTCCTTCTACACACACAGTTTAACTTCCATTATACTGGGAACATGGTAGTCTTGAGATAATGTGCTGGACTCCCATGCCAAAGGTATTGGGCTTGAAACTAGCCTGATCCAGTGTGAATTTTTCTGCAGGTTTTTTCCCCATTCTTCACCTTTGACAAGGTTGAAACCTTCTATATACATGGAAATCCCCATTCATGGTTTGGAGTTCACTGTAGTCTGTACATCACCTCTGCTTACAATCATATTCCTTATCAGCTTGTCACTTGGAGTAAAAAGAATTCCATCGCAGAAGTTGATTCCTTCAACCTTGCCAGGTGAGAAGGGGTCAGGATTGTTAGAGGGCTGTAATTTGAGAACTTCCCCATATCAAGTTTTATATTACAATCATGAACAGTATGTACTTACGTGAACATCTTTTCCTCCATATGATAATGTTCCTTATCCTCCAGATTGTGAGTAAGCAGCTCATGGTATTGACTCAAGATCAATGACACGTGATCCATGAGGGAACGACGATCATCTTCTAGCCCTGTGTTCATCTGTAGTAACATCTATAACAAATAAATTTCGACAACTAAATTTACTTTCATTTACCATGTATACATTTACGATCACCATATTTATTGTATTAGCCCATTGTGATGAAAAGCAGTAACAAGGATTCAACTAGATATTACAGGACCATAAACAATATGTTTAATGAATTAGTCTCCAATATATGAAACAAATACTGCACTTTTAATTGAATTTACAAATGTCATAATTCAAATAGTTTTAACAATTTAGTACCCAATTCATAAAATCATTTCACCCATACTCTTGCAGTATGCTTCATAAGAATACTTTAATACCCATCATAGTTCTCTGTGGACTCATTCATGGTGAGAAGGCAAGCATATTATTTTCTGGAGCCTCCTTCATTGGTATGTAAGCTTCATAACACAAATTGTGAACATTAAATATTGTAGGGTGAGTATGAATAGTGCAACCCAAAATACTACAGTAAAACCTTGTTAATCCAGGAATCATAACACTAGATATGACATAACCTAGTAAATTCCAGCCTCTAATGAAAGTTCTGCAAATCGTATAAATTGAAGGTTCCTGAGAAAACAGAGGTAGGTGTATCAATTCCCAAAATCAAAGTAGAATTTTGACTAGTAAAAACTGTATCTGACATTAAGTACCCTACTTATCTTCAATCTTAACATATTTTATTCCACAGCAGCTTACCATTGTAACTCATAGTTTCAATAGAAGCTGTGCTGAGGATACTGTCTGGCCTACCTCACACCTGTTGTTCAGCTTAGAAACCTCAATCTCTAGCAGAGTGCTTTGGTCATTGGATTTGGCCAATTCCCCCCGCATCTCTGTCTGTCGCAGCTTCAAGCTGCCATTCTCACTGCGAAGAGATCGATACTCTTCCTGCAGACTACGGTACTCCTGTTTCAACTTCTCACTTGCAGTGAACAGATTTCGAAAATCTTCCTGGGGAATAATACACATGACATCAACATTAAAACAAATTAAATAATATACATAAATGCAGTAAAATGATAGACTTTATAAAAAGTGTTAAAAAAGGCATGCACTATAGACCAAAAGATTGTACATTAAAAATAAAGAATAATACTCATTATGATGAAACTGTTCTGATCAAATATGTGTGACATGAGAATGAAAACAAATTTCTGCAAAACTGAATGATATTAACCACCACAGAGCAGTACAGAAATTCAGGCAGATACTGCAAACACTGTAACTTTCTATAACTTGCTAGGTGACTATATTTAGGGAAAGGAAATGGTATAATGCAGTTGAAGATGTTTTTGAGAAGTTTATTTTTTGCCATTTTACTTAATGATTTCTTAACAGCATAAGTTACATGCTATCAAATGAGTATCATCATGAATCATGAATAGGGAACAACATGGATGGTCACAGCCTGTTTTAAGAAACTGAGTATTTATCTAAAAAAAAAGTCAGAATAGCCATCTTCAAGTTACCCCTCCCCTCCAACCAATGTGTATGTGTGTATATTGGAAGTGGTGAAAAATTAGTGTATGGATTGGCAGCCAAGATTCAAAACAAAAAGAAGTCTGTTGCTATATTATAAGCATCTCTACTTGATATTCTGAATTAATGACTTCCATAGTAACCATAACAATAAGTGGTATAACTATACAGAAAGAACACCTAATAGCTTTCCATACAAAAACAGAACCTTCTTTATTATATACAGGTTTTCATTATGTTAGAGGTTTCGTGTCCATTCATTGCACAAGGATATAGATCATGTAAATAAACTCCAATATCATAATGCAAATCAACAAAGAAATTACAGCATACTTTTAAACTGGAATGCTCTGCTCTCAAATTCCCAAGGGACCGAGATTCTGACTTTAATTTTTCCTTTTCTTGCTCCAGCAAAGTTTGAGATGCCTCCTGCCGCGTACACAGCTCTTTCAGTACCCTAATTTCATTGCGAAGGTCTCGCTGGGTTGCTTTTAGTCCTTCCCTCTCTCTCAACAGGTTTTCATACTCTACTGTCAACTGCTCGTGCAGTGACTGCAATGTCACTTGATCAAGAAGCAACTGTTGATGTGCAGACTGCTGCAAGCTGTGCTCCTTCACAAGCTGTAAAGTAAATAATCAGCTGATATATAAAATGTTCTAATTTTACACCAAGGGGGGCTGATAAGGACTGAATCAGAAAGCAGGGTTAGGAAAGACTAACTGAAGCAGTTCACCCTGATTATATACTTGGTACACAATATACTTTGGCAGACCAATGTGAGCACCTGAATATGCACTTCTTCCATTCCATTTGTTACTTCCTCTCTCACGAGTCCAAATATTCTCCTCAGCACTTTGTTCTCAAGCACCTTTATTCAATTCTTTTTCATTTGTCTGTTATGAGTAGGCAGAGGCTGCCGGGAATTGAACCCCAATCACCCAAACTAAAATTCAAAAGAATGGTGACGTAACAAAATTCAGACCCCTACCCATCTTGCTCTTATGTGACAAAAGTCTGATCACCTCCTCTTTTTCAGCGACCAGCTGAGAGTTGGCAAGCTGTAGTGCAGTATGTTGAGTTGAAAGGGATGAGATCTGTGACTGCAGTGTTGCCACTGTCACTTGCAATTTTGCATTGTCAGAGTGAAAGCTATCAGATGAGCTTTGCAATATTGCTAATTCCAGACGCATCTCTTCACACTGGTGATTTAGAGATTCATTATCTGATTTAAGAGACTGCAGGTCAGGACTAGGTTCCTCATTGATGGGTTGTTCCTCAGCAGAAGCCTGCTGTGCCAACTTGCATTGTCTACAGAGCTCTGTCTCTTCTTGTTTAGCATTTAACTCTTTTACAAATCGTAATACTTCTGGGCTGGACACTATTCTGAAATGATACAAAGAAGAAATCAACTGTGATTGTACTGAAAGATAAGCATCACCAACAAATAAACATCAAGGCCAATGACACAAATAACATCTCATGCGGAAAACATGTATACTCCAAATTGAAGTACATCGTTCCACTCTTGTTGATAAAGGAACTATTCCAGCATTTGACAGGACATATGAGGAAAATCAGATATCACATTCAGGACCGATTCAAATAACATACATCAGGAATATTAGCTAAGTACCCTAAACCAATTAGTTACACACATGGAGTTCTTGACTAGCACTGAATATTAAATCATCTTACAACCAAGAGTGACAAAATGGATCAAGTATACATAGAACATACTTTTCTAAGGCAACATCTGGGTCCAATAACTGGTCAAGGTCTAGCCCCAGCTTTTCCAAACTGCTTTTTAGTTGTTGTGTGTTGAGCTTCTGGGTAACTAAATCATTCTGGAGTGTAGCCAATGTCTCTCTATCCACAGCTGCACGACTTACCAGTTCTTGACTCTCTCGTTCCACCTCATGAAGCCTAATTATAACACAGGAATAATAATAGCACAATATAAAATGTAGCATTTTTTCATTACAGACAACAGAGAAAGCTTTCAATTTAAATATGATGGTAAAGTGATTGCCCATGACTGGATTAATAAATTCTGGTAAATGCACTTAAAAAATGGAAAACAAAATATGTGAAACTGCAACACTGTGTTGTTAAAAATTTGCAACAATTACTTAACATATGAAGATTTCTGTCTTCTGGGTTATTGC